CATCCTTTCTAAGGTGGGTAAAATGAGGACCCGGTTTGTAGGGGCAATAAGCTGACTTTGTATAAAATATACAAAAGTATGAAGGCTATTGCTTAACGCATTGTAAGCCGCCCTGAGTCTCCAGAGAAGGGCGGCATATAAAAATAAATAAATAAATAAATAAATAAATAAATACTAAAGAAACTGAATTATCCAAAGTGCATTCTTAGAAGAACACAAGCATAAGCCACTGGTTAAACTATATTATCAATTCCATACATTTTCTCAAGGTGACACAGAACTATATGGGCATTGACATAAATGATCTTGCATTGTCAACATACATATATCAAATAAGCATCCAAATCACACTGACCTCCCTAGAACCTAACCTGCAAAATCAGAACAGCTTTTCTCTAGTCAGGCAGCAACACTTTTTTGTTAAATGAAAGAGGAAAAAACACATGGTGTTAAATTATAATACAATTAAAAAGAAAGGCATCTTTGATCAAGAAGTGGCTTTAAACAAATAATATGTTGTTTTATGCAAGCTGTTAAAAAATCTTAATTACTCTTCAAGTGATCCAAGTGAAATTAAAATGTATGTATTTAGAACAACATATTTATATTAAAAGAAGCAAAACATAAAATATATTTGTTAATGTATGTGAGTGAAATATATTTATATACGTGTACAGGTACATAAACTGCAATTACAGTCTATATATTTAAAGTGCAATATATAGAGAGAATTTGAATAATTTTTAATGGAAGCAGTAGGGCAAACAGGAAGTAGTCCTTTCCTTCCTGATAAATATTATTGACAAATAGCAATGGTAGTTGATGATAGAATTCTGAGGTATCTTCTGCAATAATCCGAATCTATTGCAGGAATATATATAGTACTATAGGAGCAGCTCAATATCTGGGCAAGATTCTGATGACAAATTATTTCTTCTTTTAAAATCCTTTCTTCCACTAACACAAAAGTACAAAGTACTTTTTATAGAATTGTAAGTTTCACACAGGCACACAGAACTAAATCTGCAATTTTGGGCACTTTGACATCTAGCCACTGGGATTAGAATATGAAATGTTGCAGGCAGTTTTTTCTTTGTTTGTACACATTTTCTACAAATACACACAAAAATACTGGGAAAATACTTTTAGAAGAGATACAAGTTGATATTAACACCTCACCATAGTTATATTATAGTTATTCCCTGTTATTTTCAAACAGAGTATAACAGATAGGAAAGGTCAAGAGAAAATGACTGGCCAATGGACTGGCATGGCTGAAAAAGCCATATTTCTCATATCTTAAACTCAACATTCCCACTTTATTCTTATATTTTAAAGTGGGGGGAGGCTATGTTTTGCTCCTGTAATCATAGTCCTGCACTAACAGCAGGGGTGGGGGTCGTGATGGGGCAGGACAAGGGAATAATAACAGGCAACTTGAATTGGGATAAAGAGATACACCATTTTGGGGGTGAGTTAAAACTCAGTTTCTCATGATGGATTCTTCTATTAGTCAAATTGCCTACTGATCAAAGTTACTTTTGGCAGAATTGTTCAAAAAGTTATTGAGAATCAAGCCTGCCCAAACTGAAACACTGAGCAACTCACACAGAAAACTACCAACTGGATCTGTCCAGGAATACAGATTTCCCCAGAACTGAGTGGAAATGCTGGGTGCTGTAAATGACTCTGATGTCAGCGTTCCAAATTATGTTCTCCTCCAGCGCTGACATGAATGAAAAAGGGAAAAGCTTTGCTTTAATGCTGAGATGAACTTTTACCTAGTTTCCTGCTCTTTAGCAGATAGCGTTACCTGGGCGACAGAGGGAGGGGGGAAATTCCTGTGAGAAGAAAGTGCTTGGGACGAAGAGATGGATCTGCACGATGGCCAATGAGACATTGGGGTTGAAGAACGGAAAGGGAGGGTTTTGGAAGGAGGGGCCAGTTTTGGCTGCACAAAGAGTTCAGGGATGTCGTTCTCCTATTCTTAAATAATAAAAAAGATTCATTAGAGACCTTGCATTTGAGAATGAAGTTTATTTAAGATAGCAACGAAACCTGACATCTTTTGGGAAACGCCTCTTATAATTTGTAAGATGTCCCAACAATCCACAAAATGGAACTGCACCATTATGATTAAAATATAACTGATGTGCCCAGAGCTTCTGTTCATATACAGGTAGTCCTCCATTTACAACAGTTCATTTAGTGACCATCTGAAGTTACACAGCACTGAAAAAAGTGACTTATGATCATTTTTCACACTTATGACCATCACAGCATCTCCACAGTAACATGATTTACATTTGGATGCTTGACAACTGGTTCATATTTATGACAGTTGCAGTGTCCTGGAGTCACATGACTATCTTTTGCAACCTCCTGATCAGCAAAGTCAATGGGAAAGCGAGATTCATTGTGTGTTACTAATTTAACAACTGCAGTTATTCACTTAACAAAAGTTGCAAGAAAAGTTGTAAAATGAGACAAAATTCGCTTAACAACTGTCTCACTTAGCAATATAAATTCTGGGCTCAATTGTAGTCATAAATCGAGGATTATCTGTATTTTAGGCGAATGACAAAAAAGACAAAAAAACCTCCAATTACATCCACATAAAATTCCTTCCCAAAAACTAAATCGCCAGCAATGATAATAAAAATAGAGGGGGTAAGCCTAATTTTCCATATTGAAAATCACCAACTTAAGATGAGAATCAGACAGTAGAACCCAAATTAAAATCCAAATCCAAATTAAATATCCCCAGTGGCTTTCTTCCTGAACACATGCAAGGAACCTGGATATTACCCTTTTTTTGAACTAAAAAAAAGGGTAATATCCATTGGGAAAATTATCATTAGAGACAGTAAATGGACTAATTATGTGCAACAATCAAAATCAGTGAAATCCCTTAACAGGGAAAGCAAGATGTGGAATGAAGTTACATTTTAGCAAGAACCACCTGAAGAATTACCATAATCTATCAAAAAAATGGACTTGATAAATATGATACAACACGACAGAAAATGTGCTTATCAAGGACAAGGAAAAGCCCATCTTTGTGAAAATGTGCCAGATGTGCAAAATTTTTATTTCCATTTGAATCCAAATTGTAGCATTAGAAATTGAAGGAAGAAAACCATGCCATTGAATTACACTAAGAGGTCAGCAATGAAGAGGTCTGTGAATGACAGGCTACCCACCGTATCCCCAGATCCCAGAGAGCCCTCCCAATCTCTCCTAAAGAAAATCAGACATTTTCTGAAAATGTCACAAGGCCTAAATAACACTCTACTATAAACACTAACTTAGTTTAAAAGTCCAATGAAAATAAGGCACTTTAGTACTAGCCATATCTCAGTCCTGAATAGAAAGTATCTTGTATTTGTGCTATCAGAATGCAGGAGAGGCAGTGGTGGGATTCAACCAGTTCGCACCACTTCGGGAGAACTAATTGTTAACTTTCTGAGCAGTTTGGTGAACTGGTTGTTGGAAGAAATCATTAGGGCAGAGAACTGATTGTTAAATTATTTGAATCCCACCACTGAGTAGGGGGGAATATAATTCTGTAGGTTCATCCATTTTTCAGCTGGTATAAAGACAACTTAAGGCCTCAGAATTCTATACAGCAAAGAAATGAATAATTACGACACTATTTCCTTTAAACATCTCACTATGAATCTTGTTCTCCACTGCCAGTGGAGTATTCACTGACATAACACCCAAAAGGATTGGTGAATGCTCCATTAAAATGGAAGGGTTGCCCTCATCTTTTCTAGATTTTTTAAAAAAGCTGTAGGAGAATGAAAAGAATTCCCTAATTATAGAACATTTGAAAAATCATTGCTTTATTGTATTGTTCTCAGCAGAAAAGAAAGATTTTCTAGATATCTAAGGCATAAATTAACCACAAATGTGATGTACAGATTTATTGCAGGGAAAAAGATCTATCCTCACTTTTAACAACAGTAAGGGCTACATATATAGAAAGGCCTTCAAGAATTGAAAATAATTTTGTTGTTAGAGTTTAACTATTACTTGTCAAATTATTCTAATTGATAAGTATTTAAAACCCTTTAAGCCTGTACATATAACTTGGTCTTTGAAAATAATACAATATATTGAAAGATTAAGAAGTTAATAGCATTTTCAAACATCTGTTTACACAGGCACATACACTTAGGCATCCAATCTACTAGGCACAGCTGCTCTTTTTAAAGTATGTTCAGAGTTTCCGTTTCTAGTCAGCATTATTTTGTCCCTACAATTTCCATGCTAAATATGATAAACAGTAAATAAAGCAAGCACCATTTACTACTTAACAAAACAAAACAAAAAACATTCTTCCCACAGGAAAAGCAAACTGTTTAAATTATTGTTTCACTAAATTATAGTTATATATTGCAATATTTTACAAAGATATACTAACATATTAAGAGGGTAAAATTATACAGCATCAATTTCAATTTAGGCTAATATAGATAGAAAAGCAGTCTGCAAATTAACAATGTTGTAAAATATTAAAAACAGATGAGAAGAAGTCTATCAAATTTCATTTTTTGGAAGAATGCCTAATATAAATAGTGCGATTCTGCATGCTATTTTAAAGTTTAATATTTAATATTTACTGTAATATTTAGAAAGTATTTTCTGCAAATTCCAGTTCTTTTTACAACCCTGGAAACTGTAAAATCAAAAATTCTTACCCATGAGCCATCTGATGTAAAGAACTTCAAACAAACAACATACCAATGCATCTGGTGCATTAAACTTAATTCAATTCTTTAAATATCAAGATTTCCAAATCCATTAATGAGATCTGGAATGAGAACTGGATCTTTTACATTTTTAAAAAATAGGCCTTACCAGAGCCAGAAAATACTTTCATGTATTTGCAAAACAAGCATGACAAATAATTTAAAATAAAAATATATCATTTCCTCAGCACATAAACACTGCATTAAAATCAAAGGATAAAAACAATAGAAATAATGTTTTACCTCCATTTTCTTCTCCATTGCTATTGTTAGTCTCAGCCATTTCAGTGCTGTCCAACTCAGATTCACAACTTAAATCCAATGTTCCATCTGCTGGGCATGTAGTGTCTTCCTTCTGTGTGTAAAGACATATGTCATGCTGCTTGTCACATTTCAAAAAAGAATGTGCTTCTTAGGAATGTTCTATAAATAAAATGTGATTCCTGACAATTTCATGAATAAGGAAAAAGTCTATCTCAGGGCACACTACTGTAAAGCCTTCTAGAAACTTACATAGAAAAATGTATCTGATTTCACACCAGTATTCATAGAAACCAACTTATTCCTTTAAAAAAATCCAACCATTCCAAAAATGATGCAGAATAAAATCAAACACCTTTTTAATGTTCTGCTTTTATTAGGTGGGACATAATTCTATAACAAATTCCACAGTTCAGATGATACTGAGCACCTACATTTTAGAAGAGGGCTTTGTGTTTTTTTTCTTTCCTGTAAAGCCTAACTATACCACACAAAAGAAAATCTAATCAAATGCAAAAGCTGCTTTTGAATTCTGGCAGTTAGTAGAAAATGGCCCATATTTCTATTTCTCAGAAAAAAGTGCTGCCTATTCCATTTGATTACTTCAAGAAAATGCCACATTCTATCAGTTTCAAAATAATGCCTCCTTCCTCACTCAGATATCACTATTAGATTAAGGATTAAATAAATAGTTCTGCTCTTTCAGATAAAATCATTACTTGTATCACACAGCTTTACATTTTCAGTTCCTTGTTAACTCTAGAATTGTCATTCATGATATAAATCCTTCCAAATGTCTCTTTCACAATACAGTGTGAATATATTTACTTATTTTTAAATAAGCAAGTAAACTTTTGCTTATTTCTAAAAAGGCAACATCTAAAAACTCAGCTAGGAAAAAAAATAAAGCTATGCCTATTCTTGAATTTTGTTTCACGTATAAAGTTTATCTGGATTGGAAATCATGTTAAGTGCTATCTTAAAAATGTCTTAAATACAGTTTACCCCTGTTCCCTACCTAATGATTTCAATCTAATTTATTTATTTATTTATATGATTTGTTAACTCAATGCATAGACTTCACAGGTCTGAGTAGTTTTGTTTCTAAAAATATGCAACTCACCTTGAGTGCGTAGAGTCCTGCCTTGCCAGGAATTTTGAAGAATGTCCCATCACCAACACGAGTGTTGGTATGAAGCATTGCATTCAGACAAGCTAATGGAGAAGTGCCACTGAAAAACAAAAATAAAGCTGGCTAAAATGGAGTGTTTCTCAGAACCTTCTTCCCTCTTCTTAAAACTCATGTTTCACTTTAAAAAAATCCTGAAAACCTCCCAACATCTACATTACAATAACAGGCCAGTTGAAACTTAATCATATGCATCTGCCCCTTCAGCTTCAGGCAAAAAGTCTGCAAATTATAATTATGCTATTTTCACACAGTAAACAGTTCAGCATTGAAAAAGAGCTAGAGTCCAAATATTTATGTGAAATTACTTTGCAAATAACACCGTAATGCCTTATTTTTAGAATGTTATAGACAATGCGGCTGTTGCACATGAATGATCAAAATGATACAAGTTGATGGGCAGCTGCATTCCATAGGATGGAGAGGCAACAAAAGAATGCTAAAAGACTCCTGAACAGCCACATTTAAAATTGCAAGGGCTAGCTTGGAACAAATATGAGCAGCACTGCTTTAACATAGCCAGTATAAACCATACATCCTGGTATAAGTAGACAACAGTACAGTAGTTTGAAGCTATTCTGTGATGAGTAACTTTCCTAAATCTACTGGGATTTCCTTTGATTTCAAAGGATTCTGCTTGGAAGTGTAGGATCAATTGCTGTTTAAGAAATAATTCTAATATATAGTGGTGCTAAAAAGTTTGTGAAACCTTTTGAAGGTTTAATAGTTCTGCATAAATATGATCTAAATCATGATCTGTTTTCCGTCTAAGTCCTAAAACTAGAGGAGGTGAACCCAATTAAAAAAATGTCAAATACATTCTATTGTATTTAGTTTTAGTTTTTGTGTGAAGAATATACGTTTTGTGAAATATGTACAAAACTTACATTTACAACACAGATATTCATATTTGTGAAATAAGAACTTTAATCATGATGACTATAATCATACACAATTAATTAAATTACTTAAAAGGAAGCACCAGATTACAAGCTTTTCTCTTCATGCAACTTTTAATAAAGCAATACTAATCTGAATGAATTTAACCAAGATATTTTTTTAATTACATAATATCAATTGTAATTGTTACTTCAAATTATGATTATGTCCTTATCAAATGTTGCATATTTCAATAAAACTTTGCTTTAATGGACCATTCAATGGAGGTGTTTGTTCCTCTTGAACTTTTATTAAACCTGAAACTTAGTTTATTTATTTAATTTATGTACTTCCCATATCACTATCAATCGACTATAAACTGCAGTAATTTGGGTAATCTGCATAATATATCATTCATGTCAATTTATGTCAGTTGCATTATCAAATGATAAATTTATGTGACATAAATATAACAAAATTTAATGTACATGTAAGTGCCCTATGCAGACATCTTTGCATACAACAAGCATGTCTACTATTCTAGGGGTGGTGTCCATACAGAAATTTCATTTGTTATATTTGCTTCATTAAATCAAAGATTTATAAAAGCAAAATTGGAGCTGATATCATATTGGAGGTGATTATTTTTAGAATGGATTTTGGGTGATGTAACTGTTCAAATACACAGGATAGAAACATTTTAAGGAAATGCCTGGAGAAATGATTGGAAATACTAATGTACATGAATTTTGTTGCTAGGGCAAAAGAGCCAGTATATGCATCAGGTGATTGCACTGACTTACAACTGCAATTACAGGAGTTCCAATTGCCATCATTAGGCAAATCCTTCTCCTGCCAGCTTCCCCACTGATTTTACCTGTTGGAAACCAGGCAAAGAAGGGTACTAATGGCAATCACATGAAAGCAAGATATTGAGGCTGTCATAATTGCAAGCCAGTTGCTAGCTAAATCATGATTATGTGACTATGGGGATGCTACAATGGTCACAACTACGAGAAATCTTCATAAGTCTCTTTGTTAAGTGCCATCATAACTTTGAATGGTTGCTGAATGAGTCACTGAATTAAATGTGGACTACCCGTGCATCTTTCATTTAGAATTAGTGAATGATTGTCAGCTTTCCCAGTACACTAGACAGAAAACATGACCAGATGAGCCAATTCTACTGTATTATAAGGCTACATTAACAAAACCTTGCACGTCTGTACAAATTTCCCACCATCTCTTTTATAGTCTCAGGAGCTTCCTTTCTGAGTTTCTTTTTCTCCCTGTGCCTTCTTTTAACCAGGCAGCATCTTTTCTCCCTTCTCCCAAGTCCTTCCCACATCCCATTAGTCTGACTAATTTAATAGTGGAACTTAGAAGAAATTATCTCTCTTTTCCTACACACATGTAATCTCTATTATAGTCCACAGAACTCCTCCCAAAAATCTGAAGTAGAACATTTACAAATCAGTAAGTAAAAACAAAAGAGTATTTCTAAAAGAAGCAAAATTTTGAAACACATTTCTGATTTAACATATCAAATTAAACTACCAAAGAAGTCAATATAATATTTAAAAATAAAGGTACCTTAAGCATACCCTAGCAGTTTAACAAAGGAATGAATAATACACAGATTTCTCTAATAAATATCTAAATAGAATGAAAATCTGACATGCAATTACTTGTCACATTTATTAGGCCAAGATGAATTAACTTTACTCTATACACGTACAGAGACACATTATTTCATATCAAGTGGAACTAGAATTAATTATGAAGTCAGATCCTTGGGAATTCAAACAAATGCTATTATGACTGAAAAGTGGATAAAATACATTGTTTTGATTTAAATGCCTTTTAAAAAGAATATTTTCTTTACAAACTACATACTTGGTTGTCATACACCCATCTTCTCTCTCTATTAACTACTTGTTTAAGAGCCTTTTTACTTCCCATCTGAATCATCAAATAGTTGTAGATTTAATTTTTAAAAATTGTTTAGATAAATAAAAAAATGCAATTAGTTGAATATAGGAGAGAAAACTCAGTCACGCAGTACCAAATGATAGCTGGAATTACTTCATCAGTTCGAACAAAATAATGCAGCAAGAATATACTGTATTGGATGGAAGATTCCACAGAAAGTTGTGGAGAATAACAGGGTTAAGACTTCCAGATCTAAATGTACAAGCAGATTATTGGCCAATCAACCAGATCTTGTAGTGGTAGTCAAGGATCAGAAGACAGCAGTGGTGTTAGAAATAGCAATGCCAGGTGACAGCAACATCAGGAAGGAATATGAGAAGTTGGAGAAGTACCAAGGTCTGAAGTAGGAACAAGAGAGGATGTGGAAAGTAAAGATCAAAGTGATTCCTGGGACTCTAAGCTGAGAATGTCTCCAACAGATCCCAAGAACATCAGAACTGTGTCCAGAAGAGTGCAGTGCTAGGAATAGCTAAGAAACTGTGCAAAACTCTCAAACTCCAGGCCTCTGGTAGAGGACCCAAGATTGAGGAAGCACATACCACTCATATGGGGTAAGCAGGGATTTTTTAATATAATACTCTGAGTGTTATAAAAGCAGAAACTAAAAATATAAAACTACAAAGATGGATAATAATCGAATATGGCCATTTGAGGAAGAATTTAATATTCAAGAGCAGGGTTCCCCAACCCCTGCTCTCTGGACCAGCACCAGTTTGCAACATGCTGGCAACAGGACCACACAAACAAGTGAAGCCCCATCCGTGGAATGCAGACAGCCTGCAAAACCACACCCCGTACGGTCCACGGAAAAAACTTTCTCCATGGAACTGGTCCCTGGTGCCCAAAAGGTTGGAAGCCACTGCTTAAGAGTTATTATATTCACTTTAGTCTTCAACTACCCCAATAACGATATAAACAAATCAAATATTAAAAAGGTATTATTGAGACCAAATATTGTATAGAAAAGCTCAAATCCTTGGATTTATGGCATAATATGGATATTCAGATCAATCCAGTTTATTTAAAAAGTGGTTTTTTAACTGAACGCCAAGATTTTCTGTTATTCTATTCAAGGAACCAGGTAGCTTATATAGTGATGAAAGGGAACAGTGAATGCCCTTAGGAGAAATTAATTCTTCATGTTCTGATCCTTTATACATGCCAAGCATTGAGGTTTGTTTTTGAATTAAATGCTATTTTCACAAACCTTAGAGACCATATTTGTTTTCACAGAGGTTGATTAGCAACCAGCATTTGAAATCATATGTATTTATTTTGTTAAATATTCAAATTCAGCTGATGAATTTAAAATAACATTGTCAATTATTTGAAATGGAAACTTTTGAGTATGTGACTGAAAATGTTTCTTTTATTATTTTCTTTCTATTTGTAGATTTCAGCACTAAGGCTTATATTTTGTCTCCCATAATCAATAGGCATAAGCAGCATTTAACCTAACAGCTGTTAGACACAAACAGCTTTATATTATACATACATACAGTACTAGAAGAACAGTATTTATCACACTTTGCCATTCTTAATCAGGATCTTTATGACATTATACCTTATCTGAAAAAAAAATCTGTTTTAATTGTAAATATTATTAGATATGGACTTACACAAAAGAAATAAAATCATCCTTTAAACCCTAAAATCCATTAATAAAATTTACTTTCTATAAAAAGGAACAATAGCCACAACTCCAAAACAAATAAACTGTAGAAGAAAACCCAAACAGAACAAAGCAAATACTGGTGGAACTATATTTGAGAATTTATTAATATTAAATATGCCATCATTTAATTTATTACCATTAAGTCTTTTTAAAAACCTATTCTAATATCAAGTTCACTTTTTAAATGGTAATGATGCCATCTTCCAGCAAATATACTATTAAATCTAACCAGTTGTTAATTCACACTTCCCTTTAGTAACAGAAGTTTACACTATTTTGTGCCATTGAGCACCCTCTGCTGGACTCTGCAGCCAAAATCAATCAAGAGATTCAATAAATACAGGCTGCATAAAAGAATATAAATGTATTTTAAAGCACCATACAGAGGAATCTTTAGTGCAGTACAATTTGTTTCTATGAGTTATGTGATAAAATATTGTAATGAAATTTAAGTTCACAGAGCTTTATTTTAGTTTTCTTCTTTAACAAAGCAGCTA